TTACTAATGTTAGGAATATAATTTCGACTGTGTCAAAATGTTATTATAATGTATACCTACATTATCTCTTGAAAGATAAATAATGAACATATTTACTTATTTGTTTATATTACCTATGTGAACTCTTAACCTATCTTTTTTATACCTTCATAGCGATAGGTATATAGGAGGATGGAAAAAATGTATTTGGTCTAACTTTACGCGAATGCACATTATTTTATTTATTTTGTTTTTAATTTTTTTAATTAAACTGTATACCAATTAATTGATCCTTCAGGATTTATAATTGTTTTTTTTTCACGATTAAAACCACGTAGAAAGTTTAGGCATTATAGTTGACGCATGCGCCATAGATTATACACTTATGGCATGCGCAGTACACATATTTTGTATACATTTATTCAACTAATACAATTAATTAAACAAAAAATGAGTAATTTCGAAAGAGAACAAACGTATTTTATATAAGAACAATCGAAAATGAATATTTACGAGTAATTAAGGACGAAAAAATATTAAAAATTGCAATCGAGGGGCTAACTTTTAGATATATTTTTAATATTTTTTTTAAAATAAATAAATGGGGAACAAACAATTATTAACAGTGAACAATCAAGAACAAATGATGAACAAACGAATTAATAGAAAATAAGTAGACAACAGGAAAAAAAATTTTTTTTGAGGGGCTAACTTCATTCACCCAGTGCTTCCACTTAAAATTGTTGTTTTACCCTAAATTTCTTAGAAATTGTGCCTAAAAATCTGTACTATATTTTTTTTTTAAATTTTCTAATTTCGGACGAAGAATATATTTAAAAAAAAAAACAATCATTTTTCTGTATTTAATAAAGAAATAGAAGAGTGAAAAGCATTACTATTTTTGCAGCACTGAGCACGGCACTTGTAGGCTTCTACACTGAGCAGTTGTTGGCTAGCATTTTTAACTCAGTGTGAAGTATTACCTTAAGATTTTAATCAGTTCAACTTCTATATTTCAAAATGGAACCCCTAGTAACAGAGATACTATCACTTATTGTTTTTAAAGAAAAAAACACCATGATTCTTTGAAGCTTAGCTCCTACATTATTTCAGTTAATTTCATCTGATATTCTTCTTATTTATTCTTCAGCATTAACCAAAATACTTGATTTCGAAGAATTCCTGACTTCATTATTCGCTATCATATTTTTGCAAGATTTTGTGCCTGGTATCTTAAGATACTAATTTTTAACATCCCTTACAACAAGTGTAGTTAGTACTATCCAAAAGGTAATTTGGGAATTTCCTCAAAAAGATTGAGCTATCTACTATAGAATAAATAGTGTAGAATAAATAGAAATAACATATCATAACATCAGTATGTTATTTCCCTAAATGCCGGATTTATTTTAAAAAAGCCTTGTCTTACATAAAATACCTGAGAAAGCGCGAAATTTCTAAAAGTGAAAACACTAACTGTAAGTCTAAGCATAGATATAATTTTTTTTGGTACAATTTTTCCTTATTAGGAAAGGCAAAGGGATCTAAGCCTATACACTAAGCATAGACAACGCATACTGCAAAGGTTTTTCTTTATTTTTATTGTGGCTCGCACGGTTTGTGTATTAGCCAGTGTCAAGATTTTTTCGCTGTTTTAATTATTTACAGCTTAAGAATAATAAAAAACGATGGAAACTGTCATTATTAATTTACGATTATTAATATCAGAGTAAGTATGAATTAAATAAGCAGCGTGGGACGATATTGATAAATTAGTTTGAGAAAGTAATATCTTATACCTTTAAACGAGCAATTCTTGTATATTAATATATATTATATAATCTTAATCTCGGAAACGGCCCAACGATTTTCATAAAATTTACTATACAGGGGATTTCGGGGACGATAAATCGATCTAGCTACGATTTATTTTCAGAAAATGTTGTTTTATTCGTGTTTTCAATAATCAACTTTATCGATAATAAACTTTATGACTCTTCCCGACATCTATTGGTGAATAATAATACTATTAAGCTATTTCAGCAGATGGCGTTGTTAAGCCACCCGAGCCAATGAGTGTTTAGACCAAGAAAATGAATTGTTTATTTATATTATTTAATTTTGTGTCTTTTTCATATAAAATATAAAAAAAATACCGAGCAAAGCTCGGTCATCGTCTAGTGATTAATGTAGTAATTAACTCTGCAAATGATAATATGAAGTGAAATGAAATGAAGTTGATTAATATTATGAAACATGGCATAAAATGAAATGAAATTTTTGGAGGATCCCGAGAAGTTACCTCCAGTGGCTTTATTTCATTTTCCCACATTTGTGCACTTTCACAGAATAAATCACCGTTATTACACGTTTAAACCTGGAGAAACACTAAATAGACGAAATAAAACAAATCACACAACTTCACTCGTCGCGTTCCCGCCAAGAAGCCCACTGCAATGTTATCTACTTAAAATTCAAAACTATACGCTACACTTAAATTACCTCTACCCTCCATAACATAAATGTAAGTTACAGATTAAATATTAATTTAGTGAACATAGAAGTATGTATATTAAATATATATACCTATGTATAGCGAATAAATAAATGATTAAATATAAATAATGAATAAATTTATGAAGATAAAGTCGTCGTGGCTGTCAGGACGGTATGAAACTTCGCTAGAAGTAAATGAAGTAATAGTGTTCTGTGGTATGAAAGCTCTTTTTTTTTTCGAAAGAATAATCGCTCGAGATCGAGTATATTTTTAGGATGTCATGAAGTTGCTCGTGTCAATGTAACACAAACTTATTAAATCTTTTGTCAGTTTGAAGTATGGGTACTAGGGTACCTATGGCTGCCCCTATTGTTAGAACTGCAGGCGTACAGTAAGAATAATAGGGGATCGGGCGGCTTCATTTTAAATATTTTTGTCATGATCTGAGGCTCTGTTTATGTATATAACTATTATCATTTATCATATAATATTTTATTATATTATATTATATTATTATATTATATGATTAAATTTTTTATTATTTATAAATTAGGTACCTTTGGTACCTACCTAGATGTTTTTGTTTTGTACCTTTGGTATAGTTTTCTATTACCATAACCTTTATCAATTTTAATATCATAGCTTTCAGTTGCTTAAATGAAACTATATAGGGTAAATATATGAAAACTAGTAAAAATATTCAGCAAAACGAAAAGGAACCATTGCACTTGACAAAAGAAAACAGCCGACGGATTATGTTTTAAAACATGTTTTTCGTTAAAATTAAGGAATTTGTTAAACATGTCATACGATAATCTTATTAAGTAATAATCATAAAATTCTGAAAAAATAAATAAATTAGCTAGTGTTGGCGATGTTCTTTTTTTGTATTAAAATACGTGTGATTCAAAAGTTCTGAACGTTAATGTATATCATATTGCCATAGATTATGGCACTTAATATATTCGAGACATATTGCTGTATAAGCTTCGTTGCCTTTGCCTGTTCAGTGGAACAAACAAAAGAAGCTGTAAACAAGTGATAAAATTTAAAAAACAAAATTTAGAATTGAGTCGACTAGTATCAAAGCCGGCAATGTGACTTTTGGACAATTATTGGTAAATCAGAAAAACGAATTATTGACTTTGTATTCCATTGGCAGTCACAAAACTCTTCTGAACGACATTTTAGATAAATAACAGGTTAAGTATTAACCTTTATTTAATGCAGGTTTTGAACCGTATTCTTTGAAGGAGACGATTATATTCAAATCAATCTGTATTGACATATCAATAACATTTTTTTGTCCAAATGCACAGATTGCCACCTTTGATAACAGACGACTCAATTATGACCGTAAAATAATAAACCGTGAATAAATAAGAATTATATTAATTTAGGTACATACCAATTAGAATTATTAGTCTCTTTATACTTTTTCTTTATTATCTTAAAAAATTGCCTTTTCTGAAAGAAAATTACTTTTGTGTAAAGAAATTTAAAAATGGTCTATTTACATTTTCCTTCGAACCTAACCGAGGAAGAACTAATGCTACAAGCTAAATACCAGAAACTAAAAAAAAAGAAGAAAGCTTTGCAAGCCCTTAAGGCACCAAAACCCGAACCAGAGAAGCCAATTTTACCAAAAAGGCCTACAGAAGCCAGAGATGCCAGGGAAATAGCTAGAAAATTGCTTAAAAGTGGTGCTATTCAAGCTATTAAAAGTCCTCCAACTCAGCCACAGAACACCACTTTCAAAAAACCACGTGCAGGTAGATTGTTATTTCAGAACACTTTAATTTGATATTTTTTTCAAAAACGTAGATAAACGATAAAAATGTAGTGTAAACTCAAATGATTCTTGGTTTTAGGTCGAGAAAGGAAATTAAGTGGTTCTGCTGGAGTACCTGGAGGTGTTGCTTCATATCAACCATTCAGTGCTTCACAAGAACCTCCACCTCAAGAAGAGAAACAAACTCCAAGAGTTAAATATCTTTATGACTCTTTTGTCACTGCCAGAGAAAAGTAAGGCAAAATAACTGATAACTTTTCAATTCAATATCAATTTTGATATTCAAATTAGGTTGGCAAAAAAAAATTTTAAAAGTTATAAGTTCAAAACTTCTACCACAATCTCTTTGGCGCTGTTTGTGCCGGTTTTGATACTTAAAAAAAATAGTTTACCGTCTTTTTATCTAGCGTGTTTATGTCTGATCATATTGTATCATTGTGTCATTGAATGTATTGTTCAGAAAAAAATTGTGTTTGTTTGTATGCATGCATTGTAATTTAAAAAAATAATGTTAAAACTTTAATACATTTTGAATTTTTTAGTATAAAAGCAGATAATATATACAAAAAAAACACAAACTATGAAAAAAATTTATGAATTTTGTGAACTTAACACATTGTTAGTAAAAGTAGCACAAATTCAGTTTAAGCACTTTCAGTGTGTGATTTTTAATGTCAAATGAAAAAACTGGCTCAGGCTAATAAAGATTTACTCAATGCAATAAAAAAAAGATAAAAGATCAGAATACTACTATTTATGAAATAGTTGAAGAGCTAAGACTTGACCACAAAATAGTTTTTGCTCATTTGGAAAAGTCTGTAAATACAAAAAAGTCTGCAAATACAAGGAAGCTTGACATTTGATCACTATATGAGCTCACTGAGACAAAACCAAATCAAGCATGTACACATTTGATAGTACACAATTTGGTAGAAATTTCCATTGATTTTAAAAATATTGACCCCTAGTTGTGAAATGTGGATTGCCAGACAACAAGAACATGCGAAAACTATCAGTAAAAAACAATTAAGCTCTACAGACAATAGCAAAACTTAAATAAACTCACATAAGGTGATGCTGAAGTTGTCGTGGCCTAAAGGATAAGACATCCAGTGCATTCGTATCTAGCGATGCAACGGTGTTCGAATCCAGCAGGCAGGTACCATTTTTTGTAATAAAATACGTACTTAACAAATGTTCACAATTGACTTCCACGGTGAAGGAATAACGTCGATAAATAAAAATTAAACCTGCAAAATTATAATTTACGGAACTACCGGAGGTAGCACCACCCTGCCTATTTCTGCCGGGAGCAGTAATGCGTTTCGGTTTGAAGGGTGGGGCAGCCATCGAATTATACTGAGACCTTAGAACCCATATCTGAAGCATTTACATTGTAGATGTCTGTGGGCTCCAGTAACCACTTAACACCAGGTGGGCTGTGAGCTCGTCCAACTATGTAAGCAATAAGAAATAAAAAACGCTATGTCTATTGTGATATTGGATGGGACTCTTTCATTATAAGCTTTTACCACTGGCCAAAACGCATCATTTTTAATATTTACTGCCAACAGCTGATGAGAATCAAGCAAAAAATAGAGAAAAACTCAGAAATAATATATTTCAGTACTAAAAGCAATTAATTGTAATACACATACATATAAGTATTGAATGAATAAATGTAATTGTTACTTTATTTTGGAGCTCATGAAATGCGAGACTAAACTTTTGTGAATACCTACACCTTATTTCACTTTTAAATAAACCAATAATTATTTTTAGGGACGACAAAGGCTCACGCACCCCCAATCCAGGTGGCAGTACACCGTCTCAATCAGATGGTCGCAGTTGTACTTTACAATTGGTCGGTCAACGGATATCTGAAGAGATATTGAGGAGACGCCTGGCTACTTTTGAGCCCTTTGCATTCATGCCAAAAGATGACAAGTAAGTGTATTTTGAGACTAGTTAGTTGCTTAAATGAATTTGTTTGTACCGATATCTCATGAACCTTTTTTAAATCTAAAGTTTGGTATCTCTCCATAACAGGACAACATCTTTTGTATAGGGTGGGTATTTTAAACCTCTGCCAAGCTACTCTAATTCCTTCAGGAAGTCGGTAAAACCCTTGATGTTGTCGGGCAATTCCAGTTGCTTAGGCATTAATTACCCTGGTAGTAGACATTAGTTGCAATGCAGTGTCCTACACAGAGGACTATCTATTACATTTATAATATACAGATGATACAGATTGTTAAAAGTTCCATGACTTGTAAAGGCACTCACTACCACACATAGTTATCAATCCTTTTTAGTTTGTAGGAATTGCCTCGACTGTCTCACTCTTAAGATCATTGATTTCTTCACAGCAAGCAGGATGATATATCTACTAATGTGAATGAAGACAGTGCCTCATACCATCAGTAAAATATGATTTGCCTATCGATTTCTAATTTCCCTCTTAGGTATAGAGTTATTTGAATGATTCAATTTTTTATGTTTAGGGCTTTCTTAACCTTCGATAGTCCTGACATTGCGTCGCACGCTTTGTCGGCTCTTGAAGGCAACGAGGAGGGCTGGCGTATAAACATCGCGAGAAGACCTCCGCAGCAACAAGGGACTTGGAGTGCGTCGTCTTCACCACGGAATCCACAACCGCCTCCCAAGGACTTGAAACGTACATTATTGACTTATGATGATATATTTGATTAAACAGAGCAGATAAAATCTTGTTTATTAATTTTGAGTACTGTCTTGCCGTGTAAACGATTTCTTCTGATGACGACTATGATATTTCGAATCTTTAACCCAAACTGCTTAATGTCATATATGTTATTAAGCATTGCCATTTATTGTGGAAATGTAGGCACGGGAGATGCATATGGTGCTTACTACGGAAAGAATAGGTACCACTCTTTCTTTTTCTACCAAATCATAAAGAGCGTTTTTCAGATAAGCATGGTTTGGTAGGTGAGCTCATAGAGCTGGGAGGACTTTCTAATACTGGCCCTAACAAGAGTAGTGTTTCGCTGAATCTACCACCAGAATTGAATAGCGACCTACTGCAAAGATCCGACAAGAAATTCAGTGGGTTTCTATGGGATAGTAATAAGACATGATAGTAATATCTTAACATCGAGTACTTCGCCATTCAGAAGCATAGGCCAAACTAGCCTTATGAAAGTTCAGGGTCTTACTTAGATAACGAAAATACTCTAGTGGGTGTGCTTAGCAAAGGCTTGTAATTTTTAAGGCGGAAGGGTGCGTGATGATCAGCACACAACTCTGGTTCGAGGTGCACAGTAACTAATTACTTCCACAATAGTTCATAAAGTCATTATACGATTACGTACTCGGTAATTAATACCACCCCATCCTACAATCACTGAACCACTAAATATTGATGCAATACTTTCGAGGTAAAAACTGGAATAAAGTTTAAAAGTATAAAGTTATTTATACTCGTTTACCCGTTTAACGTTTGGGAAGATGTCCCACAGATATACTTACAGCAGGGGCCCTAAACAGTATTACATTCTACTAGCGCTCATGATTGTAGAAAGTACACAGTAGTTACAATACAGGTGGCGTAATCTACGTCATCTATAGTAGCATCAGACACCTCGTGGGTCGTCAGACTTTTCACTCATCTTCTTAATGGTTACTGCTGAGAATCGTGATTCCCTAACACTTTTTCAACAGTCTGCCTCCATTTCATACGATCTGCTTAGTGAAGTGCGGCGTTGACTGGTATATCCAGTTGGTTGGATATCTCATCCGTCCAACGTGTTGGATTCAGACCTCTTGGCCTTTTCCCTTCCACTTTCCCTGCCACCATCTGTGTTGTTCTAGGTTATCAGGACTACTTTTGGCAATCTGTCTAAAATATCGCATAATATGTTAAATGCAGATTGACGACATGTCACTCATTTTGAAACAAAGAAAAAAGAAACAATTCATAGCATTGATATAACCTAAAATATCAGTCATATACATCTCAAATCTACATTTTTAGTAATTTTTACCACACTAGGTATGTTGACAGTGTAGGTTTAAATGAAAATTCATTTTTTTCCTTTATAACAATAGAACTACGAAAGGAAAAAAGGTGGAACCAAAACCACTTGCTTGTTGTAATTCAGTTTAATTAAAGCAATTAAGCTAATTGCATGTTAGTGACTCTCATCATTCTCGGAACCTTATTAATGATTACTCATTGCAGATTACTCATTGCAACTGTCGTACAGGCTACGTAAATACGTATTGGACTGCCTACATACAATAACTTAGTTCGACGACTGCAACTGAGCGCCCCTCACATTCACTCTTGACCTTTCCTTACTTAATATTCGTGTGCTTCTGTTTAAATGAGCAAGTTTCTGTATTTCTAGTCTGTTTATAACAAAGTGAACAAAGAAACAATGGCGCATCAACGGAAAAGTTTGGTTATTTTTATATTTCTCACGGTGCTCGTGTTTGTGTTTGCGTTGCCGAGAGACGCAACCGTCTTTGACAGCCAACACTCTGAGGTGGCAATCGAAAAGTCTACTCCGAAAATAGATTCCTCAGGTATGTATGTACCTTTATTTGTATTGATTTAATTATAAAAAAATGGATGTCATAAGTTATGTAGATGTTATGATAACATTGACCTAAAATGCTCTATCATGTTCTGTTGTTAAGTAGTAAGATAGTCTAAGTTGGTTCAAAAAGCAAGAATGCAATTTTGATTGTTTAACTATCGTTCAGTAAAAAAAGTAGGCCGCTTCGTTTTCCACAGATAGGTATTCGCTATGATTGAAGTTGAAAAATGTTTTGATTTATGTACCGTTCTAAATAAGGAGATCAAAATATACGTGCGTAATAAACAACACAAGAGGTCGAATTCTCATTGTATTTTGTGACGGCTTTCCCACTCTTCAAACAGAAACGCATGACCGATCCGTGTGGTGGGATCCCTGTGCGAGTCCACAATACGACCAATGATTACTACGCAAATTTATTTTCAATTACGAGACGACTGATGCGTTTGAGTCAGCTACGTAGCTAGTATAAAATGCTTTGTAATGGTTATGAAATCTCGACATCAGAACCATAAGGTTATCTTTTTTTTTAATAAAATTACTTTTGGAAAATATCGTTTTCGGATTCGGTTCGGAAAACCAACACATATATTATGTTAACGTGGGCCTATTTTTATCTTAACTTTACAATAGTATAATAGATATATGTAAGACATTTACCAAACGCACATGGTGCTATGTGTGAAAGTATAGCTATAAGAAGAAAACATGTAATATACATACAAGTACAGTTATAGACTAGAAAAAAAAGCCCAAAATATTGGCACGCGTTCACTTATCGGTGGAAGGCATTGTATAGACAATGAACACGAAAAAAATCACAACATATAAACCAATATATTTAGATCTCTAAACGGGGAAACACCAGCAATTAATATAAGGCTCGTACTACCTAACGTTAATAAGTCTATATTAATTTACAGATGTTAAGATTCCTGGGCGGATATGGTGCGAGTTCGAAGAAGCAACAGAGACTGCGATTTGTCAGGAACATTGTCTTCCCAAAGGCTATTCTTATGGAATATGTGTTAGTAACACTTGCAGTTGCATTTAAAAAGGATACATTTTAGTTAATGCCAAATAAAATATGTATAAACATTGAAGCATTTTATTTAAATCAATAAATATCAACAAAAGTTAGAACCATAGGAAATTTATGAAATATTGTATGGGGCTTAATGCGACCCTGGTATGTCTATTGTGAATGTTACAATGAATGAATACTTAGCTATTAATTATATTGTGCGAATACATGCGAATGCTTATTAAATAACATTTGGTACTAAGTAATAAATTAACAGAGACGTAATCATCGTTTAACATGACTTATTTCTTTAAAGTAATTGTTTATTCATTGATTTGACAAAAGTCTATAATGTTAGTATTATTTCTAAACAAAAACCACATTCTTTAGTAAGAAGAACTAGATGTACATATCCTACATAAACTATGCAGAGTGCAAATAAATTTCGCAAAAATCGAACTGTAGGCTTTTGTTGTGCAAAGTAATGTGTGTCGGGTCAATCACCTCATGGTGATTATATCACACACGTGAACTCGTTTTGATACTTGAGGTTGAGTTCTCTGTTTTATTGTTTAATAGCTGCTCTGCTCTGCAGACGATTGTTTCACTGCAGACATAGAAGAGATAGTGGTACCTAGCCGTGTTCATAATACCTTATGGTAAATTAGTATGGGTGAACTTATATTTTAAGTGCCTGCTTGTTTGTTAGTGTAACCTAAATATGTTATCTTGAATTATTGCTATTCTTATTAAATCTATGTGTCTAACTTAAGTTGAAAATTTGTCTTTACTTAGATTTTTCGCATAGTTCTCTTGAAGTGAATTGTTCAAGAGCTGGTATTTGTGCTTTATTGTGTATTTTATCTGAATAGATGAGGTCGGTTTCTTTCTTTATTTGGCTCCAGCTGTAATCGACGTCTTCCTTCTTAGTCAATCGGGAGCAGATCACGAATCTAATGACGTATCTATCCCTGTGCGTTCCGGCCACCATAAACACTTTCTTTTTTTGCGTTATGTTTTCCAACAATTGTCGCGTAATTGTGTCACCGTCTTTCAGTCTAAAACAGACCAATGCCATAGTCGGTTCGGGCCCAATCACAAAACGTTCGTCCGCACGTACCAGTTTTGCAAAATACTGTGCTAATTCTATTTGCTGTCTGATATGCGTTTTCAAACCTTCAGCACCATAAATTCTCATAACTGTCCACAATTTTAAGGCTCTAAAGCGACGGCCTAGTGGCATTTGCCAGTGTCTGTAATCTGGGATCTTGATTGTCGTTTTTACATCATCCAAATAAATTCTTTGTACATCGAATGCTCTCGTTATATCATAACCATTTTTAACCCACATAGCAGAGCAATCGAAATTAACCGGTAGCCACTTATGTGCATTCGTTACGAATGATTGAGAATGTTCAATACCTTTCATTAGGTGTCTGTATTCAGGACACAAAAATGCTGCTCCCGCATAGGCTGCATCTACGTGAAGCCATATATCTTCCTCACTACATATTGGCCCTAATTCATGTAAAGGATCGAATGCACAAGTTCCAGTTGTTCCCAGATTAGCGACGACATAGCAGGGTATAAGTCCTTGCGACTTATCTTCTTCGATTGCCCTTTTCAATGTTTCTCCGCGTAGGCATCCATCAGCATCCGCTTTCAACAGTTTCATTTTCATAGAACCAAGTAAGCCGGCTTTTTCTACTGACGAGTTACATTGGTCGGATGTATAAGCTACAAGTTTTGCTTTTATCTCGTTTTCATCGAGATCTGGATTATTATTCATGAAACGGCGCACAGTTTTATCTTTGGCTACAAGCAATCCAACTAAGGTGGCTTCGCTCGCTGATCCCTGAAAATTTCGACACAGCGTTGAATATCAAATTGATTATGTCAATTAATGCAAAACCATATAACTATATTTATCAAAATGATAATAGCAATGACACTCACTTGAATAACTCCGCCTCCGGGACCCGAAGAGCAATTTAGAAATTCTTCAGGTAAATCTAGTAGCTTACCAAGCCAATTCATCGTGACCACCTCCAGTTCTGTACACGCAGGGCTAGCCATCTACGATTTATATATAAAAATATAATTTATTCAAAATATTGTCAAAAAGTATGTACTACGTAAATAAAAATAAAGTGGATTAAAACTTACCCAACTAAATCCCACAACCGCCAAGCCGTCACTAAGCATATTTCCTATAATACTCGCGAATGAGGAGCCAGAAGGATAGAATGCATGGAACTGCGGAGATTGCCAGTGTGTTACCTGAAAACGAGATTTAATTCAAAATTTTACCTAAATTTAAAACGGATACAGTGTTCAAGTCAATTCCATGTTAAATAATTCGTTATTAATTTATATCCAAACCGGTACCTACATAAAAACGATATGATTCCTTAAAATTTTCATCATCTTCATTCACTCTTATACGAATTCGATAGAAAGACACGTTTGCCACATGACCATACATACCAAAAACAATAGACATCTAAATAATCAAATAATCGTGAAATCTTCTCTATAGAAGCAACAACGATCGATTTATAGAAACTTATAAACAAATATAGACTGGAGCTACCATAATGTGAATGGTGCTCAAGACAAGGAGTTTCAATTGCACTGAAGTAGTTTTCGTACATAGTGAGATAAGGACACTTCGTATAAATTAACTGTATGATGTCCTAGAATAGCAGCAACCTATTTCTTCCCGTGGGTATCGTAAAAGGTGACTGAGAAATTCGGAGAATGGGCAGAAGCGTTCTTTTATTATTATACCATTGTACTACGATCGCTAGCATTTATTTCTGTATTGCAAACCTGCCAGTTACCACCATCCTGCTCACTTTTGCCGCGATGCACTCATGCGTTCCGGTCTGATAGCCCTTATAAAATACCTGCAATTGGGACTCGGACCTTGTGTCTGAACGCGGATGGCGGTATTTACGTTGTGTTGTCTATGGGTTCCGGTAACAGCTTGACACCAAGTGGGTCGTCTGCTCGTTCAGTCGTCTCGGATTCTTTTGACTGAAACATGCTTTGAAACAGGCATGTTTTGATCGAAATTCTACCACCAGAACAAAAGATAGGGGGAGACTTAAGTGAAAAAAAATTGCGTGTAATGGCAACCAGGCTGATGGCTTTTAACGGTAGCTTCTGATTCGTAGCTGACCTCAGAGTGACACTGGAAATATTAAATACAAACAGATGTCTTAAATTTATTTGATTGATTTAAAATAACTACATGCAATATCTCGCATTTAGGTGTCGCATTACAGTACTGTACAAAATTGCATAGGAAACTAATACACACAAATTTTACGGTTTAATCTTGCGACGTCCGACCGTGCGTGAACTTCACTCAAAACGGAAAAGTATTCGAAGTATCGCAAACGAAATTTGTAAACGCGTAAATAAACGGTAAAAGAAATTTTAATTAAGCGGCTCGCAAAAACTGAAGAAAACAAGTACTTTCTACTATAGTAAATGACATGACTCAAGCAACATCGGGTATATTATAATATGTATAATTTAAAAACGACGGTGCGTTTTGGAAATCTACAATTGAGGCGTATAAAATCAAAGGCAGCTAAACGCCTTTTAATGTAGTAAAATGGATTAACTATGGCGCCATTTTGTTTAGTTAGATGGACACGCTTTAGTATTTTCATGTTATAACAAATACAGCTAAATCTCTAGCAAATTCAGTTATAAAATTTATTTTTACTCTGTACTCAAATATAAACGAAGTTTGAAGAAGTATCATTTAAAATTCAGATTATTAGTAATATTCTCATTCTTTATAAATCTGCTTTAAAATAAAGAATATCGTAGCTACCCGAACAAAGTTATTTTAGCTTCTCAAACTGGGAGTGTTGCTAACACTGGCCCTATCAAGAGCAGTACTTCGATGGATCGGAAGGATCCGTAATGACGTGTTTAGGGCCGATTTTTGTAGTTTACCTGAATATTTGATAGACTTGGATTTCGTTGCCTTTGATTTTATAGGCCTCAATTAACAACAATTTATGGACCGGAGAGCGACACAAGCAATACTTACAATTATAAATACAAACAAGAAACATACAAATTAATTTAATCAAACTTACACCCGGCATTATTGATTGATTGAAATCTTTCATTATTTCTTTCCAATCCTCCGGTTGTTCGGGTGCACTTTCAGGCAGAGCTCTTAACAAGTAACCAGGTTCAACAGACGGCAAAACATCACTGAAAATAGAAGTGTGTTATATTAATTATCATATCAGTTACTATTAGATCGAACAATACAATATAATTCTATAGTTAATTAACTTTTAAATTGACATAGCAACCTACGTTTAATTAATAAAACTTCTTATTTAAAAAAAAAAGAAATTGATGCTTAATTACCTACTGGCTGTAGGGCGTGTGGCAAGTTCATGTTTATGCTGTGACGTAATCATGAGTTTTGTGTTTAAGGAGATTTTTATTCTTTTTGATGGAGAGACATGTTCGCGGCCTACCTAAGTGGCTATCGGTCTCCACAGATATCACAGTGTGAATGTCACGAGCGATCTTGATATGAGATCGATGACTCAGTAACATTATAAAACTCCAATAATACACCAGGTTCTATTGAATAACGACTATCGAATAAGAATACTTAAGTGTAATCAAAGCGTGTAATCGTATAGTTCGATATGAGTGAATCGGGTGCATAGCCTTAGCTATTAGCCCGCGGAGACTACTACATACTCGGACGATTATACAGTGGTAAATCATAAAAATATTCAACAATATTAAGTATGACAAAGACAAACGAATGCTTTATCCAAGCAATAGAAGGATTTTTTCTGTAATAAAACGTAAACGACCCTGCAGCGGCATGCGTGACTGCATGTAATCAGTTTAATAATTAGTCGTCTAAAGGAAGACTTCGTGTGAATGCTAGATTTTTTAAGATTGTAACATAATTGAACATGTGCTAGGAATGCAATTTTGTGCCTGTCACTTTAAACAAATATTTATTTTAGCGCATTGTGATTGACCAATTTCATTTATTAATTTTAATACTATATATAATGATTATATAATTAATTCTAACACTATATAAATATATAATATATTTTTGCCACAAAGGGGCCATGCGTTCCGATCTGAAAGATAGGGAAATTATACTAATACTATGTACTTGACTGGGTGGCGGCATTCACCTCACGATGTCTATGGCCCAATTAACCATTTTACACTAGGTGGGCCGTGAGCTTGTTCACCCAATAAACATATCATATAATTATGATTTAAATGAAATAATGTTTTGTTCATGTAACCAGACTAAGTAAATAGCAAAAATAAACATGGATTGCAATTATTACAATAGAATGTACCTAATACGTAATACAATTGATAGTAAATTTAATATTAGTGCAAAGTTATAAAAATATCGTCTTTCAAATGTAATTTAAATAATGTAGATTGGTTACGTAAAAGTTAAATAATACGTTTGTAATCGACAAATTAGAGATTCATGTATTGTACAGGATTTGAATTTTGGGAAACTTTGATTAATTGATTCATCAGTTCAAAAAAGAAATGTTAAATAAAAATTTAATATATCAATAATCGTTATCAAGAGAGAATTAAAACAATTAATTTTAATAATGACACCACTTCAAAAGTTTCCGTGCAAAAAAGAAACTTCGAAATTGGTCGGAAAATTACAGAGAAAATGGTTAATGTATTAAATAAAAGTTTTACAATTGTACATAAAACCTCATGCTTTTTTTTAATTCAGTTAATATTCAAAACGAAATAAAAATATGTTTACTGCTTAAGAAAAACATATTATTATAATCAGAGTCATTAGATATCTTCACTCAACATTAGATACCTTCGTCAATTTCATTAGGAATGTGAATCAAGTGAATATGATAAAAATTTTAATGCAGCACTTAATTAATAAGCATCTTTATGCATTTTTTTAAATATATTGAAACAATTTTTTTGTTGTTCTAGCAATATTAAAACACTATTAGTGATTTGAATTTTAGATTGAATACAATTAACGGTTAATGATCCATTAAAGCTGTTAAGAATTTATTTCAACTCACTAATCCCTTATGTTTTCAGCGTAGTTCGCCAACATATCGATGACTGCTCTGCCGAATTCCCGAAACTGGTTCGCGTCCATATTCAACACAAACACTCGAACACTCGAATCAAATTTAAATCTGAGTCAAATCAGAATCATTAAAAACACAGCAATCGCAATGTGGCCAATGTGTAACGTTAATTCCGAATGTAAGGACACTAGGAGTTGAGAGGACGATCTGTAAGACAATGAAGGTAAGTGCAGGCGGTAGGTGGATTTATAGGTGCAGCTCAGCTTTCTACGGCACGCTGTGACCGTGCTTGCCTGTAATTATTCGATCTGACGAAGACGCGACGCTGACATGCGACATTCGTTGTCGGGATTATCTGTAATCAACACTAACGAATTATGGGAATCATTTTTCATTGAATTAGTACGGAAGTGCTTAAAATAATACTAACACTTCGGTCATCAGTTGCAAGAATAGTAAACAGGTACACTTTCACGGCTGGGTTAAATCCGTGTTTACGTGGTGTAACGAGAAGAATGAGCAAAGGTTGGGCTTAAAATTAGTTCCTGTATCGTTTCCTTAATTCGATTAACTTCTATTGATTTGGTGTAAAAACATTTACGGACGATATGTTTTCTCCTTTGTTATGTTTTAATCAGTCTAATTTTCGGGGTTTGTAAGATTTTTTTATACTTCAATTACACTTCATTATTTGGATGTAAAACGTGTCTCTTCACAAGTGCAAAGTGCTACACGTGTGCAAAGTTTATTTTCCTTTCAAACTGATCGGACGTCTTGAATATGGTGAAAATTACGTTCAATGATTCATTTGGTTATGTATGTAAGTTAATAACGTCTTTAAAACAGTGTTAACAGTTACAACCAAATTTTTTTATTAATAATCGATGTAGATATGTGGCTTATTATCTCTTTTATCAGTTTATTGTCCCCATCAGTTAACTATTCGATCTTGATTGATCCTAATTTAGATTTCTATAGAAATCTCTACAATTTATAGTGGAAAATTTCAAACCGTGCTGCATTGCATGTCTAACTACGAAACGTCAAATCTGTATCTTAATACGTAAAGGAAAAACTTTGTATCCCTTTTTACGAAAATTGCACGGACGGAGGCGTATGAAATTTCCCACACTTATAGAGAAAATAGAGAAGGAGTGCAGAATGTTAATATTTTTTTTATATTATGCCTAATAAATACATTAAATTAATAGAAAAAACATTACACACACTACCATGTATTTGACGCACACACGCATGCATACTATTTATTTATTGTGAAACTTTGATGACTTGACGTCTGTGGTCAAATTGAGATTAAATTAAATATTGCTTGTCTTTATTAATATTTTTCTATAGTGTACTCTTGGCGAAATTTGTGATTATAGAAATATAATAGTCTGAAAATATTATCATAATAGTGTACAAACTTATAATTTCAATTAATTATAGTCGAATTTCGATTACTACGGGACCACTAGTTTTAATAAATTGTCTTTACATATTCTCATATTATAATATTTTTTTTGTTGTTAATATTATTTTATCTTGCTTTGTATTTTATTTTATTATAAACACAAAGAAACATAAATCAGCCTGTCTAGCCGTTTTCAATCGATGCTCCGTCATACATGTGGCTATTGATTTTTGTTTGTCTATATAAGTTGAATAACAAGTTCTGATTCACAGTTAAATAAAATAATATTCATTATTATTAACTTTTTACAATAATTAATTAAAATCGAGAATATCTTCTAACGGTCAAACTTTTATGCATTAAACGGACAGTCGTTATCAGAATCCATCCGGCACAGAGTAAATGCTGGATCTCATTGACAACACCAATTGATTTAGCAATTTTGTTTATAGATTCTAGAAACAACACAAATCCATACTAATATTAGGTGTAAACGCGAAAGTTTGTTTGCTACGCTTACCCACGTCCTAATTTGACCTATTTATACAATCATCATAAAATTATGGAAATAATTTTTTAGGGTTACAAATAAAACAGTCGCCCGTGAAAGCTGGAAGTATTGGAAGTACAATGTGGGATTATGCATATTCTGCTAACCAACATAGCATTTGTGTGTTATAAAGGAGAGACAATAGATTCTAAACATAAGTAGTCAGAATTGATAACAATTTAGCGATGACGACGAATGAATGTTGATTAGTCAAACTTTCGAAAAATCTTTGAAATCAGGACCACCGACGTTACAGCATAATTTTTTGTATGAAATAATCGCTTAGGTTTATATGAAGGCCATCAAATCGTTTAATAACACAATTAAAAAAAACCTAGGAAATAGTTTACAGAAATAGAATACGAACTTTGCAGAGGTTACAATTCTCGTTAGGCGTATAACTGTAGCAGTGAAGCGCAATAAATAAGATTCTGTTTTCGGTTTATGCCTTGGTTTTAAATGGAACAAAAACTAATATTTTAAATTCTTCAATGGCTTAAAAGATCCTTATTCTATGTAGAAGTTAAAATTTTCGACCAAAGTTCGCAGTATTTGAATCCTTTAATTGTCTTTACGACGCCCACAGAACCATATTGGACAAAACTTATGACCAGACTGAAAAATCTTGCATAAGCTAAAAAAAACATTATAATTTATAATTTTTTTTGCCCTTGTAAGCAGGCGAGCATATGGCCCACCTAATGGTAAGTGGTTACCATCACTCATGGAAGCCCGATACCGAGCCAAGCCGCTGCCTACTTACAGCTCCTTGGCTAATTATTTGTTAAATTTTAAATTTGAAAAACAGATTTCAACGTCATATAAAACTTCTAATGCAATTATACATAATATGTGATAAGGTAATTATACTATTTATTGCTATTAATTAATTGGGTATTGTCGGTTTACGGAGGATTGTATTTGGTTTTATCTAACGAGCACCCTAAAGAGTTGTTTGAGATATCTTCAAAGCACTGCCCGTACCAGCTGATATCATCTCTACTACATGGAAATGCCGAGCTAATCGTATTTTTTTGGCTAAATATTGAGTTTTAGATACTTGCGTAAAACTATTGTATTGTGTAATACATATTTCTCAGAATGAGACTTAGAAAACTTGCTCCCGATGTTGTTGATGCCAGTGAGCTATAACAGCTTTTGATGGGTCTTAAACCCCGTTTGAACTTAAAAAACAAAAACAATGAATCACTAATCTCTAAATATATGTATGTATCAACTAATCTAGTTCACTCAAAACGTGTTGACTATAAGGAAGTGAAAAATATAGACAATAAAATGTATTCGTTTTTTACGAGAACTGGTAAATATCGATTGTTTTGTTTTATCACGGACGCGAATCCACGAATCAATTAGTAGCAACATGAAGTATAAGAATAAACAGTCATAAATAGAATTTTAATGTACTCAAAGCATTCTACCTAAGTTGAATACAGAAAAAGTCCTTGAAAGTTTATATACATCGTTTTTTATGTATTGTGGTCTATTTAAATATTATAATACTTTCAAATAACGTGCTCATTGTAGTTTACGTTCGGTATGTACCAGAAATAATTAACTTTGATTCTATGAATGTAAAAGTGCATAAGCGGAAATTCATAAAAACGTAGTCAAACCAGATAAAAATTAAATATAATCGATATTATATTTTATATAGAAGCTGGTAAATTATCGATATCAGTCAGTTGTATGAGGTCAATTTATGGTAAGAAATCGTAATTGAACGACTCTAAGTTAAGATTTTCTACTCTGTAAATAGTGGAAACACACATATGAGACAAAAACAAGTACAACCAGATCCCAAAAACAAAATATCTTTAACAACAACATCGTCTCTGACCGGGAATCGAACCTGACATCCGTGAAAGGATTGGGTCATTAAACGCCAGGCTGACAAGGCGATTTAAAAGTTTTAGTATTTTTATTTCCCTTTAGGCAGACGAGCTTTTTTTTTATTGCCCTTGTAAGCATACGAGCATACGGCCCACTTGATGGTGAGTGGTTACCGTCGCCCATGGACTTCAGCAATGCCAGGGGCAGACCCAAGCCGCTGCATACCGTTTAATACTCTCCACAAGCCTCTTTTGAAGAAGGACATGTTATAACGCTCGAGAAACACCGTAGAGGGGAGCTCATTCCATAGCCGGATGGTACGTGGCAAAAAAGACCTCTGAAAACGCACTATCGATACATACGGCCCATCTAATGGTGAGTGGTTACCGTCGTATATGGACGTCAGTAATGCCAGGGGCAGAGCCAAGCCGCTGTTTATCGTTAAGTACCTACTCTCGACAAGCCTCACTTGAAAAAGGATGTTATTATGCCAAAAATCTATAATAGTCTATAACCGATGGCATGCTGGGAACTAGTACATCAGTGGGTAAAACCATTCTGCTTATTTCTGCCTCAAAGAAGCCATGCGCTTCAGACTGAAACATCAGCTCACAGATAGATAACAAGTTAATACTAGTATGAACTCTTCTAGTACAAAAAGCTTCAATCCGTTTATACGCTTCGTTAATGTTTGAAATTATCTGTTTTATTGCGACAGTTACTACAATATGACAATTTGTCTTTATTATTTAATATAATTGTAGTCTGATTCAATTTATATTAACTATACCATTACAGTTTCCGTGTTTGCATTTGATCGTTTTGGTAGCAATACAATATTAAGGTTGCTAATATTTTTTTTGTTCATTTAATTTTTTCTTTATTTATGAAACATTTTCAAATGATCAGTGTTAGTAAATTCTAGAGTTTAAGATACATAATAATAAAATCGCTGCACGCCTAATTAATGAAAAATTAATATTAAAGAAATAATACAAATGTTCAAAAAGTGGACCTCATCGCTAAAAGACAATTTCTGGACAAGCACAACAAAGTAAGAATTATTATCTAAGAAAAAAATTGAGGTATGTAAATTCAAATATAATTTGTTATATAAAGTATTTTTATATATTTATTTATAATTTATATAAAATACATGACAAATATGCTTTGTGCCTATTTGGTAATCAGGAGGCAAGATTATATTACCCAGATTTCTTTTGCTACCTACTGGATCTATGCCAAGTAGGGCCTACAACCTGCATGGGTAGTTGGAAAATCCAGAACAAGACCTTAAGTTCCTGGGCGTGTGAGTTGTTGGCCTAAACCGCCAACACTTAAAAGTAACATCTTTTTTAAAAAGACACAAAATTTTAAAAGGCCCTTATAACCAAACATTACGCCTGATCCTGAAAAATTCTAGACTAAATCTGTCGTCAACTGTACGACGGACCTTTCTAGTCTTTCTCTCATTATTAAAACAAAAACAGAAAATTCAATTAGCTCATAAATATTATTTTAATTAAGGTTTCGTATTTCCAACAATACATCTTTAAATATGCTACAGAAAAATAAAAAATACGTTCTAAAAATAAAAATAAAAAAAATAAAATAAAAAAAGTTATCCAAAACGCGGCATATTAACAAGTCCTACGTGCTCACGCGGCCGCAATGCCCAAATCAAATCCGACACTGGCGCTGGTTAGTAGTAGTACCTGTGTTGTAGCTGTCTGTTGTAAACCAATCATGCGTTTCGGTTTGAAGGGCTGTGGGTTATTCAGAAGTGATTGACTTCGACCTTGTTCCTTAGGTAGTACCGATTCAGATTGTGGAATCCATAAGCTTTAGTATTAAAAAGTGGGTCGTGAGATTGAATAGTACTCATCTATGCCAATAAATTAAGTGAAAGTCGAACACAATCACTACACGTTTGTGTACATTTTATCAGACTGTGTACCCTCTGTCATCAACATGATTATCAGCACTCATATGGCGTGTGTGATTTTTTCTTGTTACTGGCATCGTGATGAGATGGACGGTCAATCGGTTATTGGCCGGTTGATGCGGTTGAGCGGCTCGGTCAAGGCGGCAGGCGAGGCGCTGCGGTAACGACACGGATGTCTCCGGATCGTTCGTAGTCCGAGGCTCAAGCGACGTCATTGTCACAATTCATTTCCGTTGTGCAAACATCTTAGGGTAAGGTATCGAATAATTTAAATCACACCACAATGTGGGATTGAACAAAACGCTCGTTAAAGAAAAACAATAATTTATTAAATATATTAAATAGTAATTATAGTTTACGTACGGATTGTAATTCATTGTAAGTACAAGTACATGTTTTATAAATTGTGTAATAAGACAATTTCATAAGAAAAAAAAAACGTTTTTTAAAAGAAATAAAAAATCTTAAATCGTTCAATATGAAATTCCTTCCTGATTCTCAATTAAAAGAATCCTGTAGGTGCGTATATCCATACCGCAATCCGATATTAACGTTATGGAATACCTTTCTGATTTGTCGTTTGAAGGTATAGTGATCGGCAAAGGCGATTGAAAATTAGAGTGTATTGTTAGTTTTAGGTGTTCCAGGCGAGGTTTGAGCGTGCGCGATGTCACACGATACGTCGTCTCACTTCGCAGGATATGTTTGACTTCTGTAATGTTCGTCCCGCCTTCTGCTAGAAGCATGCCCAGCACAATTTTGCCTGTTACCGTTTCTAAAACAATAAGATAAACTATATATGTTTCTCATGATTCAGGCTATTATAAATTAAATATAAATTTTAAATTATTATATTACTAGCGGCCCGCCCCGGCTTCGCTTGGGTAGTAGCGGACGCGATGTAAATATTTTTTTTTAGAAAATATAATAAATATAGTCTATGGCACCCGGCGATAGTGTAGCTTTCCAACAGTGAAAGAATTTTTCAAATCGGTTCCGTAGTTTCGGAGCCTATTCAATACAAACAAACAAACAAACAAATCTTTCCTTTTTATATTAGTATATAGATAAGATTAGCATTAACTTAATAGCAAAAATAAAATAAAATATAAACTATTTAATGTAGATTCATGAAATAACAGGTACCCTGTTCGCGGGCGCTTTGTGTGTACCCAAGATTTCTATTAATGAGCGATACCTATCAAATAGCTAATCAAAGTTACGTAATGTGAGTAAAATAATTACCGATTAGACGATCGAAAACATGCATCATGTTGTCAGTAGCGTTTTCGAGTAAAGCGTGTCGTAAAGCTTTTGTCATTAATTCATTTCTATGAGGTACAGTTAACACTGTAGTTCTATAGCATTCGCAAGCTTCGCCGCAGCTACAAGGGTCCAAAGGCCAATTTTGTACTTTAGCTTGAAGCATATCCAAAGGTAAATCCCAACGCGGCTGCGTTGTTACTTTTATAAAGAACTCGCCAACATCGCTTCGAAACCAAATCCATGAATTCCCAGCTTGCGTGTTCAGGCATATTAGTTGTAAAAATAGTTTATGTTCTTGTGTTTCTTGACTGTTTTCTTTTGGTATTCCGCTCAAAACGATTTCATCATCGATTATGTTAAGACGCCGCACGCAGAATCGATCCTTACTTTTTGGTTCAAAATTAACGGGTATTGCTGGTTCGTCGTCCGTTATATAAATTTTGAAACTTGCCGTTGATGCGAATGGTGATGATACTAATATGTCTACTTTATTAGGCCTGTAGAGAGGACCGGTAACCTTACATTTCCTCAATGGATTTAAAACACCAACTTTTCCCTTTAACTCAAAGACAATATATGTGTCAAAAATTCTAGTTTTGTTATAACCATGAATTAGAAGTAGACAATCTTCTTCATCAACGAAATAAGCCGTATATTTGACATTTAAAAAAATTTTCTTACCATTATCATTAGAAGCTGATTTTTCTACAGTAAAATTGCTTCTTTTAGCATTTAAAATATTGTAACTGAATATTAGTGTCTCTTGGTTTGTCGAGCTAATAGTCACTTGTCTTGTTGAGCTTCGCAGAAGAGGCGGCTTAAATTGAACTGTATCTTTAGGTTTTAGCATAGGCAAAGCTACGTAAAGGTGAATCGATAAAAATAGCATTTGCAAGAAATTAGGACTCTCGAGATCTTTACTGCAAAGTGGAAAATATAGTCTCAATTGATTCATAGCGTCTATAATAATACATGCATTGTGTATTATATCTCCACCCTGACTTTCCTCGTCAACATCACAAAAAAACGAAAAATGCTCTTTTAGAAATGGACAATTATTTAAGATAGCTGAAGCTATTGCAATGCCGTCAGATAAATCAGTTGTGATATTTGTAATGATTTTAGTTGGTTTCTTTCTTCCAGGAATTAAATTCTTTTGTTGTGATGCTATTTGTTCGTTATACCAATCGATCACTATTTTGACTATATCTCTGGATTGAGAACTGACACAGACGCATTCGAAAAAGCAACTGTCGAGAATAAAAACTTTATAACTCTGTAAAATTAAATCTAGCCAGCTCTGTTTGTTTAATCTATTATATAAATTAAAATCGGATAATAGTTCTTGTGTTAAAACTATGTCGGCATTACATTTTGAAGTCACATTTTCTGAATATGCCACAAATTGTTCGTAACTTAAAAGGAATCTAGCTTGCAACACCCACAAATTAGCACCCCGGGAACGAAGTAAATTAATGATTTCTTTGTAAGTGTCATGTATCTCTTTCACGTTTTTAAAATTTTCGTCCACACCTTGAACTCTGTAATAAATAGTAGAAAGAAAGATAAAAAAGTAAGATGACAACAACTTAGCAAGTAAAACTGAAGTAAAACTGACTGAAGCTAATTTTAATAATTAACGCTCAGAAGAAATTTTTGGGCAAGTTAGATGTGTAATACAAAAACGACGTGGAAATCAGAATAGCTTATTTTAAGAAAGAGAAAAAATTATAATAGGTTACAGTTAGGAACTAACAATATTTTTTAAACTTACGAAATTTTCCTAATGTGTTTCATGAGTGGACTGGCAATTCTTCTCATAAAATTAAGGTATGAAACGTTGATCCCTTTCACCTTCACTCCTCCAGACTGTGATGTTAATGTAGATGAAATAGCATGGAATGTATTAGGAATTACTGGATACAATTCTCTTCGAAATCCTTGTTGAAACATCCATGTTTCCAGAAAACTTGTACAAGCCTCCATATATTCATAAAGATTTGATTGACATTTTTGAGGGAAATAAGGATATGGATTGTCTTCAATTTGTACATACGTGTTTGCGTGTAAGGTTATTGGACAGTACGTGAAACAAAAGCTGACTTCAACATCGCATACAGAGCCACAAACATGATTAAAATTCAGAGTTAAGTTACGTGTATATGGTGCTTGACAAAGTATTTTTATTTCGACTGTTACCACAGTATGCTTTTCTTCATTAAGTAATTCTATAACATGATCGATAAATGACACTTTTAGATTGAGCTCCTCTTTTGAAACACATGTAAATGATTCCATATCTGTTTCAGCTTCTAATTTTAATCGGATTATTCGAATGATTTCGGTACCCACATAAATAGGTGGAAGTACTATTCTATTAGTGTCAGCATAAAAGGCGGGAATTTGTCGTTTCCCGACAAAAGTTAAGTTATAGTACGGTATTGTCATTTGCTTGTCTAGGAATAGCAAAGCAGTCGCAACAAATTTTCCATGACCTTTAGGGTGAAATTTTACTAAAAAGTCAACTTTTGTATCTCGATCTAATTCGAATTTGATAGAAGTTTCATTAGTTAACGCCTCTGCATCTTCTGTGCAAAGATGTAATGTGAAGTTAGGATTTAATTTTGTTGTTAATATGGAAATGTATAAATAATACTTGGAAACATTAGTTAGCGAAAACTCTAACGTATTGTTCCCATGAGGATCAAAATCAATTTCAAATTTGTCTACAGAGAACACAATCCAAGGTACTGTTATTACTCCTGTTATCCGACAGTAAGTAATGTCTTTATTGACAGACTTTAATTTAACTCTGGGGTTGTTTTCGTAGCATCTGTTTGAAGAAAAATATCAAAAATAATTAAATAATGCAAAACTTCAAATTCTACAGAGTACTTAAATCCTTAGATACTTACTTTTCATATTGCTTTGTGTAATATTGAAGTTCTGTCGATAAAGAGTTCAGAACTGGAGGACCGAGTAATTCATTTATTCGAAAAGGTAAAAAAATATCATATTCTCTACGATAAACATCATATACTTTAACGTAAACAGTTTTTGTTTGTCCTTCGTGAACGTCAAATTTTGAGACAATTTCTTTTTCATTTCCGTGAGTAGTATATATATCAAACATGTTATCATCTTCGGTTCCCAAAACTTCAATCGAACATTTGGCAGGACTCAAATTCTGAAAAGTCACTGGTACGTATGTTATAGTATAAGATGGCACTCTTGTCATACAGATACTCTTAGGATGTATTACTAGTTTTGGTTCAACTACGTTTCCGGTTATAGGTAAATAAACGTTTTCTTTATTATTAATTTTCACATTGATATCTAAAGAAAACTCCATAATGCAAGGAATTTTTACAGTTATTTCGAAAGTCATTATCATTTTTGGTCTAATTATTCCACTCATAGGTTCAATACTTAGGCCAGGAATTAATGGTTCAACAATGTGAAAATATGCAATTTCTCTAGAAGAGTTTTCGAGTTTTACCACTTCTTTTCGTTCTAAATTTAGTGGAATATCTTTAAATAGTACAAAGGATTGCAAAAATTTTATTGAAAGTTTTCTAGTGAGTATATTCAGTTCCAGGGGTATAATTTTCTCAGTACTGCCATTCGATATAAAATCGACTTCATGTATTTTCGATTTGGAAGGTCTGCAGACGTAAATTATGTCGCAAATTCTACAACTATGCTTAGGAATAAAGCCGTTTTTAGGAGTAATTTCAAACGGTATTTCTGGAGGCAAATCGTTCCAATTAAAATTCACTGGTAGATTAAAATTATTAAGAATTTTAACTGGAACTGAAGTTACAAAAATTTCTGTTCCTGTCATGCCAAACTTTAAGTTTCTGTCTTCTATCATTAATGTTGGGTTTCCAACTTGCAAACGATACTGATGTTTTCTATAGAATTTTTCATTTATTATATACTCAAATATGCTCGTATTATTCCCTTCAATGTACCCTAAGCATAACAATTTTATATTACTTTGCGACGATGATTTCACTTTTACGTTAAAAGTTTTTAGTTTACTATCTGTGTAAAATATTCTCTCATCTTCAAGTAAGGTAATGATAACATCATCTTTAGTATTATTTTTTATGTAAATTTCCTGTTCTCCATAAGTCATTAGGCCAACTCTCCCAAAATCAATGCAATTTGGGGTAATGACAATATTAAAGACATCAAACGTGGTCATTGCTCTCTTATTTTCAATACAAAAATTACCCACTTTCTTACAACTCAAAAGGTCCTCATATGAACATCGTTGTTTGCCAATGATTGTTTTCTCAAGTGTTTTCTTTGTAAAGCGTGATTGTTTACAGTCTTGTAAGTGATCGAATGCTATTTTTTGTCTCAAATTATGTATTTCAATTTCTTTACCAACGTAGGTATACTTTTTATCTTGTTCGTACAAGTTGTGTAATGACGTTACCCTTACATGTTTTGTGTTTTTAGGAAATTTGACTCTTAGCTTGCATGGTATTTCATATATAATATAATTTTGAAATTCAAGGTCTGTTGATTGTAATGAAATGCTATCTTTCTGCTTAGTTTCATTGCTATCCAATGGGTTGGTTACGTAAAAAGTTATAGTATTGGAAACGTTCATACTTGATGGTTTTGCGATAACATATAACTTCCTAGAACAATTGGGTGGTATTGAAATGCATTCTGGTGTTACTTCAAAACCAACAATTTTCTTGTATTTTATCATGACTGTTAGTACAGTGCATTCATTCTTCAACTGTATACATTTCTTTGTAGACGTATTTATAAATATTTCACCAAATTCAATTGTATTTGGGTAATGAGTAATTTTGCAATGTTCATATTGTCCACTTATGTAATATCTCCCTATTTCAGAATGTTCTTCTTCTAGACAACACTGTATTCCGTCGGTACGAATCAGGTGTAGGTCAATCACAAACCTGTTATCAGTATCGTTTATTTGTTTGACTTTTGATATTGATTCGTTTCTTGGTGCAAAATTTATTTTAAGGCTTTGGCTGTCTATCTGGGTGATACTAAATGTTCTATGCGGTGCTGATACGTTCCAAGCATCTTCAAATCTCTAGAAATAGAAAATTTGTTCATGACTACATTTTTACGATTTCGTTGTTATTTTTCATGGAACATATTTTTAATAAATAAAAATATATTCTATTATTAAAATATTTTCTATATAATAATATACTTTTTTTTCTGCCTTGTTATTATAAATGATTAATGAAGTTTAATTATTTGAATTTTAACTACAGTATTATTTACTTATTTAGAGTCTATTGTAGACAAGCGTTTTTAGGTTGTCTACCATTTTATATTTACACATCGCAGTATATATATAAAATTAGATTCAAGCCCTACACCCCAGCAAAAGGTAATAGGAAAGAATGATGATGATGATGATGATATCGCAGTATACAAAACAGTATAAAAACAAAACTATAATGTACCTATTCATAATTCTGTTGTAGTTTATTTAATTTATACAGAGTTTAGACATTGTTTATTTGCGTTGATGGGCAAAAAGCTTAGCGGTCGAATTGAAGATAGCCTTTGTACTTAAAAACAAAATGCACCTCGACACATGAGGATAAAGTTTCCATTGCACTGGTATTGGTTGCATCGGTCTTAAAGGTAATCATTTCCGATTAGGGACCGGGGAAATAAACTAGTAGTAGAACTTTGAGCTCGTGCTATAAGATACGACAATTCTGCTTATCGCAAGGATAGCTATCCTATTCTTATCGCTGTGCAATTGAGAAATCTCAATCATCTTATGTCCCAGCATTAATAAATGCATCCTGGCAACTGTCTTAACTTGTTATCGATTGGACATGGGTTTATTCTTTCTTTTACTTCTAAAAGGGTGGTAATGTTACCATTTATTGAGTAGAACATACTATTGCCATGCGAATGATTATTGACTATTAATAAACATAGAATAAGTACTATACCACTAAGCGACCTTCGTGCTTAGTTTTAATATAAGCACAACTGTTTAAATCTACTCCAACATTTAGAATTTTTGTCATTGATAATCCAACAAAACAAATAGGGAATTCGATGACCTCAAATCGTTGAAAAATGTTGTCTGGGTTAAATCTAGTACATTGCATGGTAATAAAAAATAACTAATTTTTTGCTGGTTGTCATTGTCTGACAATGACGTATATTTTGGCGGATGCTTCATAACGCCAAGAAGTTAATCGTTTTTTTTTCTTTAACTCTATGCTTGACAAATAAACAAATCCTATTTATAAATTAAAATAACGTAGTCTATAAGTAAAAAAAAGAAGTTTAAATCTAAGGATAATCTATTTAACAAAGCTAAGTTACTCCTTAATTATCTTTTTTGTTAGATGCCTAGGAACGAAATACCCTTGCGAACGGGATAACCTGCTGGAGTAATATTGTAGATGGATGTAAGTACCCGGGGTGTGTCGTACGACTCTGGTAAATTAGTTCGGGGCGGGGGAGCCCCGCTCGTCGTCACCGCGCCGCCCCGCGAGCGCCGGGGTTTATCAGATTTAGGGGGGTAAAAAATGACTTCTCAATGGAAGGCAGGAGGGCGGCGCGCGGCGAGTGTTAGGCGCCGAGGGGCGGGCGTGGGCGGTACCGCCACGTGGGCTCGGCTTTCAGGAACGCCGCGACGCTCGCTTCACCCGTTTAGGGTACTGCGATCCTCGGCAACTATGTGCAGATTTTCGGAATGAAACAGTATTTATATTTTTAGTGCGGGATGTTAAAAAACGCTGGAGTTAACATTGAACGTGTACAGTGTGTTTTACGAATCTGGTGATGCCATGGAAAATGCATTTGGTGATGTTATGACTGAACGTGAATTGCGACGCGAAGGACCTATGGATGCAGGAGCACTTGACACTATACATCAGCTCGACCCGCCACCCCCTGATGTGTTACTGGCGTTGTTAGCAAGAAATAAGGCACTCGAAGGTGATAATTCGTATTACGCTTGGGTAATTGTTTACCCAAGCGTTTATAATTAACAAGTAACAACTTTTCAAATTAAAAAAAAACAAATAGCTACGGTATACAAAACAGCATGTCTGCTATGTGAAAAACTAAAAAAGCTATGTGCCAAAACTAAACTAGGGGTACATATTATTATTTTCTTAGGTTTTCACGAGTCGCGAACATAATAAAACAGCTTTTATGATTTAATCTCGCATTTCTTATTGTCTTTTTATTATTCCGGACGTTTCGAACAAGTTACGTGGCCCTAGACATGACGAATAATACGAGAATAAACCTTAAAAGAGGTTTTAACTAAGTAAGTTCATTTTTGTTAATCTTCAGACAGCTTAAGTTCAAGGAACTTCAACAAACTTTAACCACTGTCGATGACGTTTTCGACAGCCGTCAACTACAGACGCGATGACTTTATTAGCGTTAATATCGATGTTATTAGCCAGTCGTAAACTAAAGCTATGAAGATTCGAAAGTGCTTGAATTAAACAAATCTTTCCTTTGCTTTCCACTTTCCATTTAATCCGTTATGCCGTCATATAACAAGAGCAAATTTCCACAAAATAAATGAAACTTTCCACAAAGCACTTTTTATTTTTTTTATTTTTATTGCTTATATAGGTGGACGAGCTCACGGTCCGCCTGATGTTAAGTGGTTACCGGAGCCCATGGACATCTAAAACGTAAATGCCGCCACCCATCTTGATACATGAGTTCTAAGGTCTTAGTTTTTACAGTACAACGGCTGCCCCACCCTTCAAACCGAAACGCATTACTGCTGCACGGCAGAAATAGGCAGAGTGGTGGTAACTACCCGTACGGACTCATTATACGTCCTACCACCAGTCTATGCGTCTATACCAGTCTCTTCATTTAAAGTGACAACTACTATTTCAGAGTTAGCAATATCACGTGCACCAAAATGCGTTTTTGAAGGTTCAATTTATTTTAACGGTACAAGAATAAAAACTTCATACACCCAGTCAAACGATACTGTTTTTCTCAATATACTACATGGATTAGTACGACCTTATACCGTAGTGAACGTATTTGAAATACTACTGGCTCAAGGCAAATAGAACATAAATAATCAATAGGTTTGCTCGAATCAAACGATTGAAGCTATGAAATAGGTTTTTACTGAACAAATGGCCTTAAGAAAAACTCTTGTTATATTGACTTATCGTAACGTATTATTTGTTCTTTTTTCTATAAAGACGAAGGCGTAACTTTGCCTTTTGTAACATCGATGTTCATATAGCACGCTACAATTAGCACCGGGGCGGCACGTGTCATGGTTTTGGTGAAGGTTCGCCACGCGCGTCACACCACTGTGCACCATTCTAAGGGTTTACACCCGCACGCCGTACGGCTTCAAATAATCAAGTTAAGTGCTCCTTTCCACTAGTTACACAGGAGCGCCAGTGTTTTTTTGATTTTAACATCAGACAAGAGCTAATAAGCGGCAGGCAGTAATATCGATAATAGAACAAACACTTAGTGAATTATTCAAAGTATTTATTTTTAAATATTTTACTGTGCAAAGATTTATGTTATGTGGTAAAATAATAAAACCACTTATGTACTGGAAATCTTAATAGTTTTACTGAAATGAAAGTTTTAATAAAAGTTTTAAGGTTAGGTGTATTTAGGCTTTGTAGGGTTCCGACATTTGATTAAAGAAAAAAGCCATCTTTCCGTCTCTCAACACTTCAAGCTATAAATTTAATTTGCAAATTTGCAAAGAGATTAAAGGAAACAAAAGGAATATCTGATTAAAATTTCAACAAAAAAAATTTCTATCATGTGTTTATGTTTCGGTATGCTGCAATGAACCTGTTATGTTTAAAGAAAATAGAATGTCTCTAAAGCAGTTTCTTTGATTATCTTTCAAAAGAGTGGTATGATAGGCATCTAGTGGAATACATTCAAAGTGGGTTAGTTTCCATCTTTTACGTAAGCGTTTTAATTACCGTAAATTAAAACGTGAGAAAAGTCGAGCCCTTCATTGTAAGTTTTTTCAGTAAACAAGGGAAGTTTGCGGGGACGTCTCCTATTGTATTAAAACATTAACACCGGAACTGGTCACGTGGCGGCGTGTGCGCGTCCAATCGAAAGTTTCCGGTCATGTGGAATAATACTTTTTAAACTATCAGTGTGTTTTGAAACTCCTTCAATTCTGTCACTGACATAGTGTTACAAGACCGTATGGTTAGGCACTATTAGCATCTCTATATAATGCCGAAATATATGGCAACGCAAACAGCGAAATGAAGCCGTCGACCCAATGATGCTAAATAAAACATTAGTAGCGTCCGTCATCGAGATTATGTAGTACATAATATCTCGATGAGTAGCGTAGTACTTACAGATAGCGCTTTGTACAGCATTAAAAAAACTTGGTTTGGAGTCCAACGACTTTCTATTTGCTTGTTATAAGTCGAACTTTTGACAGAAAACGATCTGGTTGTAAAAGTAGTATTTGGTAATAAAAAGCGATCAAATAGGCAAAGGGAAGAAATTGAACAAATCCTGTTTCGAAGTTTCTCAATAGTCAGTAGGGTAATTAGTAACAGGGGCATTATTCAGCTTCACTGCTGATAGTTTGGTAAAGTGTTAGCCATCAAGGAGTATTTGAATATAAAAACGCAAAACAAAAGGCATCATGTAGGCCCAAACGTACCATGATGCGATTCTCAAAAAGGATGTTAAGCAAAATTATCTTCAACTAGAGGTCCCGCGGTAGTCGAAATTCGACTATAATTAATTGGAATTGTAGGATAAGTTTGTACACTATTGTTATTGTATTTTATACTTCTATAATCACAAATTTCGCCAAGGCTACACTATAAAAAAATATTAATACAAACAATATTTAATCTATTCTCAATTTGATCACAGACGTCAAGAACAAAAGTTTGACAATAAATAGTATGCATGAGTGTGTGCGTCAAATACATGGTATGTAGTGTGTGTAATGCTTTCTTTATTGATTTAATGTATCTTTTATGCATTATTTAAAAAAAATATTAGCTTTAGGGACTTCTTCTCTATATTCTCTATAAGTGTGGATAATTTCATACTCCTCCGTCCGCGCAATTTTCGTAAAAAGGGATACAAAGTTTTTGCTTCACGTATTAATATATAGATTACCATGAATGGACCATTCAGTAACACTCAGAATCTGGTCATAACGTTCCTTTTAAAGTCGTTGTGGCCTAAAGGGATAGGAAAGGGACTTTTAATGGTATCATATCAAGTTATTAGTTAGTGATGAAATCCCGTAGGCGAATACCAATTTCTCACGAAATATTTCCACTATGTATGAACAGCATCATGGAATAAAAATCAAATCCGCAATAAATATAATTTGGGTAACTAATCGTAGGATTTGGAATCGGCATGGGTAGATACCTACCACCACCCTACGTATTCCTGCTGCGAAGTAAACCTGTGTTTCGGTTTGAATGGTTGAAGAGCTAATTGAGATTTTGACTCAACGTCTCAAGGTTAGTGCGAGTAATCAAGTTGTGGTATCGATTCCAATAACCATTTACTACTACGGCCAGGAATTATACAAATTAACATTTTATTCCCGTCATTATTATTAGATACAATGATGTTGTTTATTATTCACCGTAGACTTTCGCTAGTATAGTCTAGTTACGCTTTAACTTTTAAAAAATGTTCACGCTTACAAGTTTGGCACCGCCGCACAGTCGTATCATTCGTTACGGGCGTCTTACTAATTATAGACGTTTTAACTAAAAAAAATTTTCGTAGCTGCAAGTTTGACAGTTGGATCATCCTCTACATTCGTCTTACTCATTATAGACCACAAATACTTTATTATGAATGCTTTAAAACTGTTGTCTGCTATCAAAACATAAAAATGGGCACTCCCGCCTAAAACAATTGATGGAAGCAAAGTTTATGATCCGTTACAGCTTTGCTTGGGGCCGGAGTCATCATCCACTCTGCGGGGGTCGACATCTGTCGGACTGTGACCCCACTTATTAGCCACCCCTGGGCTACCTTTGCCCACCTGATATGACGATTAAGTACTGAGATCCTGATAACTTACGACTCTTGGGAATTGTTGCTATGTTAATTAATTCGGTCACGTGAA